ATAATTAGAAAAGGACTTTAGGTATCACAGCAGCTTCCCGTCCCTAATGGGCTCTTTCACACAGCAGGTGCAAGAGGCTGGGTGATCTGAAGAGTCAATCTTAACCTATATTGCAGTGACTTTGGGTGGGCCGATGTACAGCCTGATCCGGTGGATAATATGGTGGATACTTACGGTGAGCCAACGTGTAGCGGATGAACCACTACCAGTCTCTGACAACTACCCATGTTGCCTGGCCGGTACCTAGTAGCAAAACTTCCCCGGGACCGCTCTGAGGCTGCAGTTCTCCAGATTGCCGGAAGAGGGCGCTGCCGATCGCCTGGGTCTGCAACTGTCAGACTAAGTCCCGGGCAGCAAGAGGCAATCTAGTGTTGGTCATGTCCCAGAAAATCCAGAGCTTCACTGATCCCCGGGAGCTGGCCCCGGATCGGAACTGCAGCCATTGGAGACTTTGCCTGGGCCAAGTGTGAGGAGCTGGGGGAGAAGGGCAAGAGTGGAAAGTTGGAGAAGAAGAAAAGGAAAGGAGGAGGGAACCCCAGCGCCGCTGGCAAGTCCGTGGGAAACGGGACCGCTCAAGGCCCATGGGCTCACATTGTTGGGGCTGCAGTTTGATGGGGAATGGGGCGTAGAAAGACCTGCGGGTTTGGACCATCTAAAGCTTAACGAGGTTGCACAGGTCCTGGGGCGAAACAGCCGCGCCGTCACGAGGATCCTTCCGGAATCTGACATTTAAGTCTCAGCAGCAGCCGCGAAACTTACCTTAGAGCTGCGGGTGCCCGGAGAGCACCTCCACAGCTATCCCCAGCCCTTAGGATGGGAGCTTCTCTCTGTCCAGAGTATTCGCTGTGGAGCTTCAGCTCCGCCCGTGCGTCTGTCTCCTGCAGGGTCTGGCCTCGCTGGGTCTGCTCGCAGCTTCTAGCCCGCTTCCCCTACCTACCACCTCTGCCTCGAAATCCACATTTCAAAGGGGGCTGCTATGGCTGAGTTCCCTCTTCTCTCTGCTTTGTAACCAGCTCCCCACATTCGCTTCTACCCCCAGACTCCTTTCCGTCTGCGGGCGCCCCTGCAGTTGGTGGAGAGGGAAGGGGCTCTGAATACAATAACTCGAGATAACTTGGATATTGGCTTGAACTGTCACACGAAAATAGGCAAGTTTCCAAACCACAGGTGTCAGCCTCTAGGAGGACTTGACCCAGCAGAGGAGCAGGTTCTTCCACACCAGAGGCCTGAGGGTGGGGCTCTCCTCTTCTGCGGAGTCTGGCCTCCCAGCGCGCCCACGCCTCCCATTCCCACCCATTCCCACCCAGGGCACCCAGTGCGGAGAGGGAGACGCAGCCGGCGCTCTGATGTCTCCGCGCTCCCACCCCGACGCCCAGCTCCACCCTCACCCTATCTCGGGCCTACCCAGAGATCAAGACTTGAAAAAAGCATCCCCCAAAGGAAAGTCCTCTCAAAGGCCCTAGACTGTTGAGCCCAGAGAGGGAGCAGAAGAGGGATCCCTTCTTGGCACTGCGTCTGCGAAAGCCACCCTGGGCCTCGTGCGGACCATCCTGAAGCTTTCAGTTCTGGTGCCTGGGAAAGGAGCGCGGAGGGGCCCTGTGAGGCCCTTTCAAGGGAAGGAAGCCAGGAAGGCAGCCTCCAGAGGCGTTCCTTGGAACATGGAGTGGGGGAGCAGCGTCCCACAGCGCCCAGTTGCCTTCCGCTCTCTAGGCCCCTGTCGCCTCGAGGGCACTCGCAAAGGCAGCTCAGCCTGGCCCAGGAGATTGCACCTGGCTGAGGGAGACCAGCGGAAGCAGCCGAGGAGCCCAAATGCTTCTTGCAGAGGCCTGAATTCAGTTTCTATGAATCCAAAATACAGAATCAGAAATAACAACTTCTGCTAGCTAGCGACTTTTTATCATTTACAAACTCCGGCACATGATCTCATCCTAAACTATTTGCATCCCTAGCACGACAATCTAGGAAGGTACACAGGGCAGATTGCGACCATTTCTACAGCTCAGGAAACAGGTGCTAAAGGGTCTGTTTCCTTAACTCAGTATTTCTTGAGGCACTGGAGGATTCAAGGATAGATAAAACAGGGTCTCACTCTGGAGGAGGGAGCCAGAAAACACCCTAGTTTACTTTTGCTGCCATGGGAGTGGCTCCAGGGTGTGGCAGGAACCCATATGAGCTAATGCCCGGGACTTCTGGACTCTCAAAGATCAGAAAATAGTGAAGAAATTTACACACCTTCATACCAACGCTCTAGAGGGCGGACCTTGGTTGGATCCCGCAGTAATATTTATCACAAGGCAACCACGTATTATTTGGGTGATGTACTGTTAACGCGTAAGCTCCTTGTAGCCAGGAGCTGCATCTAGATAAAGGTTGAATTTTCAGGCCTAGCCCAGTCCCTGGCATACAGCTGGAGCTCAATAAATATTTGTTGAGTGAATCATGAATTGAGATAAAACTTGGAGCAAAATAACACTACCAGGAAACACTGTCTCTCCGTGCCCTAGGTAGGTGTGAGGGACAACGAGAGGGGTGAGAAAAATTGGCGGGGAGAAGGGGCGGTGAGAAAGGTGTTTCCTCCTCACCATCCCACCCGGTCTGAGCTACAGACCCTGAATTAACCTTTCTGAATGAGCCCTCTGTTCTTGTTTCACAAAATGTCACTGCAGGGACAGAAGGACGTTTCCCTTCCGCTAGGCTGGTGTGAGCAAAGGCTGATGGCAATTTCCCGCCTCTGGGACTGGGCCTAGGCCTGCGCCTCCGCGGCTCCTCAATTCCTGGCAGAGCCGCAGGCAGAAAAGCAGAGTGTGGCCGGAATTGAGACAGCCGCGTGAGGCTGCTCCAGGGAAAGCTCCAGGAGGGGCCCGCGTTGGGCCCTGCCCCGCCATGCTGTCTCCCCCGGCGCACCCACCCCACCAGGGAGTGAGTTAGTTTCGGGATAAAGAGAGATGACAGGCTCCGTGAGGTGGAATCGGGGTTCCCGAGTATATCCTGTAGCCATGAAAAAAATCACTGGTTTAACGGGTCTGCACTATTTAGGATGAGTCCAGGTGGTGGCGGAAAGAAAGAACGGTCTTTGGTCAGAAAGGTGTTTGGGGCAAGGGGAAGGACTCTCGAGGCCTTTGCTTGGACAAGCTCGGAGATAGATATGCGCCCCTTCCCCACAAGGCGCCTTAGTCTTCCCGCTTGTTCTTGGCAGTGCAGCGCGCCTGGGAAAGAACGCGGAGCGGCGAGTGTGTGTGCAGGGGCAAGAGGAGAGACGCCTGGGGCCTGCGCTGCGGGGCGCGGGCGGGACTAGGCGCAGACAAGGTCGCTACAGAGCTATATCGGTGCGTGCGTCAGAAGCTCCCTGCAGCCGAGGTTGAAGCCTGGTCCTATTTGCGGGGAGAGAGTGAACCGAAAACCGTTGCCCGCCCCAAGCCCTTCGAGCTCCCGCTCCAGTTCAGCGTGGTTCCGGGTCCTGGTCCAGAGCGGGTTGGGAGGGGCGAGTCTCCTAGAGAGTTGCGGCCCCGGTTCCTAGCCTGGTTGCTCTCGGACTCTCCAAGCCGGAGGCGGAGGAGCTGCTAGCCACGCGTGCCCGGGACCTGCTGAGGGACTGGAAAGCTGCCCAGGGACAAAGGCCGAGCGACAAGACCCAGGAGCTATGGAAGATTCACCCAACTGTTTCCTTTACTCAGGTCTAGGGCCCCAGAGAGGAGGTAGGGTTATTCATGATAACCACAGAAATCTCCAGTGCTGGCACTGAGCTTAAAATTTCAAAGCTTTCAAAGCACTTTAATGTGTCTGATCTTATTTGAATCTCTAAAAACCTTATGAAGAATCATCTCCATTTCTAAATGGCATTGAGACTGGGAGAGATGTAGGATGTTCTCACCCTTGGTGTTTCTTAACAAGTATGAAATAATGGAAAAAGAAGTAAGATCTGGAAAACCCACCCCGCCTTAGCAATAAGACCCCATTCCAGGCGCAGGCCCTCCTGGGTCGCACCTGCAGACAAGGTCTGTATTTAGCGTTGCCAGCTCTCCTCTGTCGTTACCTTGAGCCCAGCGTCGCCTCCCCTCCTTGCTCCCTGGGTTTAGGCACCCCATTGACCAAAGTGCAGTTGATGGGATCTGAGTCCTTCCTGAGAGCGCCCCCCAGAGAAGCCCCGGGGAAGGAAGGGCGAGGAGCCTGGCTTTGCGCTGGTCTTTCGAAGCACAAGCCGCCCCCGCGTCTTTGAGCGCAAACGTAGGGTCGCCTGCTCCAAAGCGGCTGAGTGGGCTGCGCGGAAATACGGGCCCATGTGGGAGGCCCACGGGTGTCCTGAACTTTCTTTCCCCTCATAAGGGAGGTAGTGAGGAAAGCGAATGCTAGCCTAGAAGTTGGCTTTGTATTGAGCGAGTACACAGAGCACTCTTCAAGGAGAGAATTGAAATCTTGAAAAGCAAAACTTTACTATAATTGCTATTAATGAAAAAGGAGCCCAACCTGCTTAATTAAATAGCTCAGAACTGCGTGCTCATCACCCGGAGTTCCTTCTCTACAAGGAGGGGAAATAAAATATGAAAACAAAAACCAAATTCGAGAAGCTCCTTGACCGACCGGCGAAGTGTATTGGAGGCACCTGCGGGGCCAGGGAGCGCTCCGCCCTCCAAGCCCCCGGTGCGGAGAGGAGGCTGAAACAGCCAAAGAGAAAGCAAAACAAAAACAAACAACAATAAAAACGTTTAAAATCCAAGGGCAAAAATTGGAGTCGGTCTCAAAATCTGCGCTGTGCAGTGCTCGGCTTGGTAGTCCGCTCGCCTGCAGGCCCTGGCCTGGCCGGAGCGACGCGGCCGACTCCCCGGCTCTGCTGGGTAGTGCAGCCCACAGCTCCCCCTTGCCAGGCGCCCAAGGACCCTCAAGGCGCGGGGCCCACACTTGAAACCTGGGAGCGCGCAGACAGGAAACCCACTTCCTCCTAAGCAGTTTCTCGCTCGTCGGATGAGAGGCGCCCAATTGAAGCAGAATGATCCTCATCTACTAATATCCAGCGTGGCCACAAAGCGACTGGCCATTTACGCCACCACTTTAAACAAAGATATTTGGTTATTCTCAGGAAGCAAGTGCACTTTTGCATGGCTGAGCTCCGGGCGGAGGCGAACCTCAGCCCAGCCTCCCGCCCGCCAGGCTGCGGGCGCCTGGGTATTGCCCCCTCCCGGCCAGCGGGTTCCTCCAGTTCGGGCTCAGTTCTGCCCCGCAACAGACGGGCGGGCACTCACTCTGCTCCCTGCCTGCGCCCTTCCTGAAGCACCAGAGGGGAAAATGGCGTGACTCTGGGCTCGGGTGCTGGGGCTGTGATGTCCTCGGAAAGTCAGCTCCAGTCCCAGACCCCTGTGTGTCCCAGCGATGGGCGAGGGTCAGGGACACCAGGTTTGTTTGAGGTGGGGCAACTTCAGTGATGGGCCCTCCCATTAGTTCTCCTTCCACATCCTCCTAGCTCAGGAGGCCAGTAGTGTGTTTGCCTGGGCCAGGGTTGGGGGTGGGGATGGGGAGCCTCCGGTGACGGGGGCGGGGGGCGTAATGTATGGGGGGGCCGGCCAACTGAAAAGCCCCTGAGCTTGGGTGGGGGGTGGCGCAGGGATCCGGGACAGCCTCGCGGCGGCAGTCGATCCCCTACTTAGCGCCCCCTCCGCCCGCTCGGATTCTCTTGGGTAGGGGGAAAGGGGGCGGGGAGCAGAGGTGTCCCTCTGACGGCGGCAGAAGAAGCAGACAGACTGACAGACACGTAGACCAACAGTGCAGCCCCAGGGTTCGTCCCCAGACTCGCTCGCTCATTTGGTGGCGACTGGGGCTCAGCGCAGCGAAGCCCGATGTGGTCCGGAGGCGGTGGGAAGGCGCGGGGCTGGGAGGCCGCGGCGGGAGGGAGGAGCAGCCCCGGCAGGCTCAGGTGAAACCCCCACCCCGTCCCTCGGCCCCCTCCTCCTAAAGACCTGTCCCCGCCCGGGGAACCCCGACCGAATAGGAAAGAGGTTCCACTTTGTAACTCAGCAAGTTGGTTGCAAAGCAGCATTCACCTTCCTTCCTCCCAACCATCCCTTCTCCTCGGCTACTCTCCACCCCACCTCCTGCCCTCCCCGCTCTCGGTTCCCTCCTCCTTCCCCTCCCCCGCCTCCTCCCCGCGCGCCCGTGGCACCCCACAAAAATGGGGGTGGGGGTGTCCAAGGGAGGGGGAAAATGCTTTGGGTCTCCTCTCTGCGCCTCTCTCTCTCTCTCTCTCTCTTTCTCTCTCTCTCTCTCTTTGGGACCCAAAAATCCTGACAAGTGAAACTTAAAGGTGTTTACCTTGTCATCAGCATGTAAGCTAATTATCTCGGGCAAGATGTAGGCTTCTATTGTCTTGTTGCTTTAGCGCTTACGCCCCGCCTCTGGTGGCTGCCTAAAACCTGGCGCCGGGCTAAAACAAACGCAAGGCAGCCCCCGAGCCTCCACTCAAGCCAATTAAGGAGGACTCGGTCCACTCCGTTACGTGTACATCCAACAAGATCGGCGTTAAGGTAACACCAGAATATTTGGCAAAGAGAGAAAAAAAAAAGCAGCGAGGCTTCGCCTTCCCCCTCTCCCTTTTTTTTCCTCCTCTTCCTTCCTCCTCCAGCCGCCGCCGAATCATGTCGATGAGTCCAAAGCACACGACTCCGTTCTCAGTGTCTGACATCTTGAGTCCCCTGGAGGAAAGCTACAAGAAAGTGGGCATGGAGGGCGGCGGCCTCGGGGCTCCGCTGGCGGCATACAGGCAGGGCCAGGCGGCACCGCCAGCCGCGGCCATGCAGCAGCACGCCGTGGGACACCACGGCGCAGTCACCGCCGCCTACCACATGACGGCGGCGGGGGTGCCCCAGCTCTCGCACTCCGCCGTGGGGGGCTACTGCAACGGCAACCTGGGCAACATGAGCGAGCTGCCGCCGTACCAGGACACCATGCGGAACAGCGCCTCGGGCCCCGGATGGTACAGCGCCAACCCAGACCCGCGCTTCCCCGCCAGTAAGTGAGGCCGCCCCACTGCGGGGCCGCGGGCTGAGCACAGGAGGCGCGGCAAGGGCCGCCCGGAAGGCGCGGCGCCAACAGGCTGCGCGCCGGGCGTCAGGGTGGGCGGCCCGGCAGGGGCACCAGGAACTTGGGTGCGGGAGCTGGGGATTCTTCCCCCTGCTGGGCTGGGGGTCACAGAGGAGGCACGTGGTAGCGCTGGGGTCCTGCGGACTGGTACTCTGCATCTCCCGGGTACCGCCGATCCGCAGCTCTGCTCTGCGCGGAAGACCTCGGAAACCCGAGGGAGGCGACCCCCAAGCCGAGGGAGCAGGGGCGAGCAGAGCGCGCAGAGGCTAGGCCTGGCGAGGAGGGAGGCTACCCTGTTGGGATGCACTCAGGCGCCCGACTGGCCAGCTCTCCAGCAAAGCCGGGGCATGTGGGAGGGCACGAAGCTCCGGAGGGGGCTCTAATGTGCCGAGCAGGTGCCCTCACTAGGGCCCGACGGGAGAGAGAAAGCAAGAGGCAAATCGTCTAGGGGCTTGAGCCTTTGGAAGTCAACACCCCCTCTCCTGACCTCCCAAAGTTGGGGTCTACCGTCAGACCTCACATCCCAGCCTGTGCCCAGTTCGCCGCTTGTGGCCTCTAACCTGGGTTGGGCACGGAAGGAGCAGGAACGGCCTTTTCCCCACTGCGAAGGAGGGAACTGAGACTGAGGGAGGGCAGCCAGGGTTGAGGCTGGGAGTTCTCCAACACAGCCCTCGACGGCACGGCCTGGGGCAGGTGCTGGCGATTCCCTGAGGCTGGGCCTCTTGAGGAGGAGCGCTAGGCGGCCTGGGAGAGGAGGGCGCCGTCGGGGCGAGGCGGGCCGGGCGGGCCGAGCGCGCGGAAAGCAGGGGTGGCTTGGCCCGGCCTGGCCCGGCCCTGGCCGACGCTGTGCGTTTGTCGCTTACAGTCTCCCGCTTCATGGGCCCGGCGAGCGGCATGAACATGAGCGGCATGGGCGGCCTGGGCTCGCTGGGGGACGTGAGCAAGAACATGGCCCCGCTGCCAAGCGCGCCTCGCCGGAAGCGCCGGGTGCTCTTCTCCCAGGCGCAGGTGTACGAGCTGGAGCGACGCTTCAAGCAACAGAAGTACCTGTCGGCGCCGGAGCGCGAGCACCTGGCCAGCATGATTCACCTGACACCCACGCAGGTCAAGATCTGGTTCCAGAACCACCGCTATAAGATGAAGCGCCAGGCCAAGGACAAGGCGGCACAGCAGCAACTGCAGCAGGACAGTGGCGGCGGCGGGGGCGGCGGGGGCGCCGGGTGCCCGCAGCAGCAACAGGCTCAGCAGCAGTCACCGCGCCGGGTGGCAGTGCCCGTCCTGGTGAAAGACGGCAAACCGTGCCAGGCGGGTGCCCCCGCCCCGGGCGCCGCCGGCCTGCAGGGCCACGCGCAGCAGCAGGCGCAGCAGCAGGCGCAGGCCGCTCAGGCGGCAGCAGCGGCTATCTCGGTGGGCAGCGGCGGAGCCGGCCTGGGCGCACACCCGGGCCACCAGCCGGGCAGCGCAGGCCAGTCTCCGGACCTGGCGCACCACGCCGCCAGCCCCGCAGCGCTGCAGGGCCAGGTCTCCAGCCTGTCCCACCTGAACTCCTCGGGCTCGGACTACGGCACCATGTCCTGCTCCACCTTGCTATATGGTCGGACCTGGTGAGAGGACGCCCAGCCGGCCCTAGCCCTGCGCGCTGCCTCACCGCTTCCCCTCCTGCCCGCCACAGACCACCGTCCCCCCCGGCTGCTCCACGCGCTTCGATTTTTTCTTGAAAACCTGTCCACATTTAGACCAAGGAAAAAAACACAAAGGCCAATCTGCTGGACGTCTGTCTTTCTTTTTCTAAAATTTGTGGGTTTTTTTTTTTTTAAAAAAAAGGAAAATAAAAACAACCAAGCGAATCCAACGCTTCTTAAGGAATCTTTAAACAGAGAAGGACGTAGAACAGCTTTGGGGGTATCTTTTTGGTGATTCAAATGGGTTTCCCATGCTGGGGCGGGGCCCAATTTGGAGAGGGCTCTACACTGACCTAGCTCCAGACTCTAAAGATCGAAAACTTCATTCTGGGTACACTCTGCCAGCAAAGTGGACTTGCTTGTAAATACCAGGATTTTTTTTAGAAGGGAGGACGGGAGCTGGGGAGAGGAAAGACTCTTCGACACAACCCACTTGTCGCTGACACAAAGGAAGTGCCCCTTCCCCGGTGCCCTCTAGCCGCCTGGGCTCAGCCAGGACCGGTCCTCCACGAAAATTGTTTTATGTTTGATGTGAACTTGTAGCTGTAAAATGCTGTCAAAAGTTGGACTAAATGCCTAGTTTTTAGTAATCTGTACATTTTGTTGTAAAAAGAAAACCACTCCCTGTCCCCGGCCCCTCACATTTTTTATGGGCATTGACAAATCTGTGTATATTATTTGGCAGTTTGGTATTTGCAGCGTCAGTCTTTTTCTGTTGTAACTTATGTAGATATTTGGCTTAAATATAGTTCCTAAGAAGCTTCTAATAAATTATACAAATTAAAAAGATTCTTTTTCTGATTAAAACCCCTCCTTTTTGTTTGGTTTTGATTTGACTTTTTAAATGGCTTTTTTCTTTTTTTTGGTTGGTGGGAGTCTCATCTTTCGCCTGATGAGATCCAAATTGTTTGGGTTTGAGCTCAAGGATTCTGAACCAGCTAAGGAGGCCAGGCCCAGAGTCCTTGCCCCACAGAAAGAGGGAGTTTTGTTCTGCTGGGAATTGAGTGGAACCAAATCTTGAGCATTCTTGAGACTCAGCAATAGAGAAGAGAAAAGCCAAACTACTTACACCAGGAGGGAGAGGGAGAGGAAGAGAAAGAGACCAAAGGGCTCTCTCTCTCTCTCTCTTTTTTTATGCCAGGCTTTTTTTTTTTTTTTTTAGAAACCTCAGAATTATCTGCTGTGGTCTTACACAGCTGAGCCAACATTTAAAACAGTGGGGCCAGGATACCCGTTTTAAATGATCTATCATTTTTAGTGAACGGATTGCCCCTGTAGATTTGAACATCAAACCTTTATTTCTAATCCCATGGCTGAGCTGTTTTTGAAAGTGTGGAAATCATTCCCGGATTTGTTTCTGCTCTAAAACAGCAATCCCTGCTCAGGGACCAGCAGCGGACGACCTCTGTCCCTGCTTCTTGGGGCTCCTCTGGCCTCTGCCAGTGTCAGATGCAGGTGGCCAGCCCTAAGGATGCCCCAAGAAGGACTTTGGGAGCCGGGATTTCATTCCGTTTCCATCTCTAGCCTCCTAAACCTTCATAACAATGAATCTTTTTCCGGTTCCCAACTCTCCACCTTGCATTGGAACAGAGACTCCCCAACAAATATTCACTCGTGACTCCTTTTTTCTCACTTCTAATTTCCTGGTCTCCTTAGCACTCAGTTGTCTGTCCTGGGGGATCTTTTAGGGATGCAATGCTGGGCCGTGTGTGTGTGTGTAAAGAATGGTTGTGGACAGAAAAATTATAGTCCCTGGATGGGCTGTTGCCCTGTTTATGTCACCTCTGATAAACCTACCCAGGAAAGGCAGCTGAATGGGCTGTGGGCAGATGTCCCTCCCAACACTTCCCTCTAGGTTTGGAGGTGTTTGATTATGGGCGATTGATTCATATTTGGCATGTACTCACTTCTTGCCCACATTTTCAACTTTCTTTTCCTTTCTCACCCCTCTCTCCCCAACTTTCATTCCTCTCCTTTCATTCCATTCTGTCTCCATCTCTCTCTTCCCTACCTCCACCCCACTTCGCCCCAGGAGCTTGTTAGGAAAGTAGACTGGCCTGAGTCCTTGCTCCACAGTTCTCTTTGTTGACTTCCTAGGGTCTCCTCTCGTGTGGTACCTTAGGGCTGGGGGCTAGGGCGGGCTTTCTCTCTCAGAAACCCGGCCTGGCTACTGAGATACGGTTTCCAATATCCAGAAGGGACTCGGAGAGGATGGCTGGTTGGGTGTAGTGAGTGTGCTGGTTGAGGGGAATCTCAGCAAGTCTCACATTTCAAAAACCCCAAGCCAGAAAGTTTGAACACTTGCGTCGTAATGGGCGGTCGTAACGGGCAGTCGTAATGGGCAGCCGTTGTAGTTCTGGGACAGGAGGTGTAGATGGCTAAGGCACCCAGCTCAGGCTGGGGCTGGCAGGGGAGGTGAGTACTGCAGCTGCTGTTGGACTCTAATGTCCATATTCCACGGGTTGGAGCTACGCTCAACCTGCCCCCTTGCGAGGGCGGGGATGAGGCGGGTGGTCCTAGGCAGCCCCGTACTCCCACTCTAGCCAGGAGCTGGCTGCTGAGAGTCACAATTTTAGTAAACTGTGGTACCCTCAGCCTTACAACCCTTGCACCGCATGGAGTTTCTATCAAATACATTCTTCTCCCCGCCGTCTAGAGTCAGCTTAGTTTGAAGTCTATTTACTCGTCCTGGGGAAAGGTGAATTCAGCCGGGTCTGCGGATGCGACCGAGACAAACAGGGCCTCGGCGGCTTCTCGCCATCAATCACATGCGGCCCACCCGCTCTTGGCTGGCGGACTCGTCGCAGCTGCAGGAAGCGGCCCTAGAACGCAGTCTGAAGCGTTTCGTTAGGAAGTAGGCGCCTGCTGGGCGCAGCGCAAGAGGGTTCTGCAGCCGGGGGACACCCTCCACCCCTACAGCACTGCGAAGCCAACGTCGTCTTTCCCGGAATCCCCTCCCCTAGCTCTCCAGCAACTCTGGCCCAGCAACCCAGGCCCAATTTCTGACTCCCCCACGCCCCGGGGAAAAATCAGCATTCTGAGGATGTCCCTGGTGCTCAGGTGCCTGGAAGAGCCAGAAGCTTCGGACATGTGGGGACAGAACAATTCACCCCGAGATCACCACGAAGCTTTGCCTCCTCCAAAGTACCCTACCCATCTGCAGGCCCCGACGGTTTCGAGGAGTGGGGGAGATTTTGCACGCAGCACCCCCCCTTCCTCCTCTCCCCCACCCCCACTTCGCCATGTAAACAGGAGGACTTTCTCGAGAGCCCTGGAGAGCGGCTCTAGTGGCTTCGGGGCCTGAAACCCCTGGCTTGGCTTGTTTAATGTTTAGCATCCCAAAGCGGCTCCCCACCCTGGCCCCAGCCTGGGAACCTGGAGCTGTGGGCAGGAGAGGAAGGAAAGCAGCTCACTCAGCTGGCGGGCCAGGGACTGGGCCGGGCTCCAGGAGGCGAGAAGAGCGGGACGGAGGTGCTCTGAGCAGGAGAGAAAGGGAGGCTGGACTGCCGCTGCCACCAACAAGGGCACGAGCTGGGGTCCTCAAGGCCAGGAGGCGGGTGGGGGCAGGGAAGCCTTCAGCAGCCGCAACTCGAGATAGAGGTAGGAGCGGGCCTGGTGGGAGTAGCCTGGGGCCCGCGAGTGAAATCCGAGCCAGGCCCGGGCGACTCCCGGAGAAAAGCTCTGGGCACATACTCCGGGAGGCTGAGGAGGCTGCTCTTCCCACTGCTTAGGTCTTGGCCTTTCATGGGAAAAGACTCGCTCGGGAGCCTTCTAAGGTATTTTAAATCCTCCTGGGGCAGGACTAGGGAGCGCCAGTGACAGTGCTTGGGTCTGGCTTCCTAGTCTCCGATTTTGAGGCCTCAGGGAAGAATTCTCAGACTTTAGAGGCCGCACACCCTCGAGCGAGCGCGCTCACTCGCGTATGGGCGTCGGTGAGGGGCTATCTCGAGGCGCGTGTGCACAAAAGGTAGCTCGAGTCTCTTCTCAGGCGATCCGAGATAAGAGGAAATGAGAGCGGGGTTTTCTGACTTCCAACTCATTAGGGACCAGGTAAGGTCAATGCTTTCTCTATTATGTCTTTATCTTAAAAGTGGGTCAATTTAAGATAAGGGAAAATAAATCCAGGATCTGTGTGAGCCGTGCTGATAAAGACTGACCCCTTTTCTGAACTAAAAGCAAGCCAGGCAAACGTTCATTTTCTATAAACAAGAGAGTTGTCAGAAGCTGCCTTGGATTCTGATCAGATGTCTCCAGTTTCTATAGACATCGCTTCCTTTTCCCTACTCGCCACCCCCAAGTATAAGAGTGAAGAAGCAGAGTGAGCAGGCGATTTTATTTGTGGAGAAGTAGGAAGCCAGTTGGGAAATGTGAATCTGAGATGATATGATTCTTAGGCATGGTTTCCTGTCTTGTTTGTTTCAAACACAGCTTTCTTTCAGAATGGAAGGAAAGTGACAGACATGGGTATTGGGAGGGATGAGGCTGAGTGTTTTCCTTGAAATCCCAGTTAGGAGATATTGGACACCGTGTTCCTCTGGCCCTTCCTACCTTCCTGGCTGATGGGTTCCTTCTTGTGCAGTTGTGTTCCCGAGTCTTCAGGCCACCCTCTGTGGGGCCCAATTTGGGATCCTGACTCAACTTGCAGCACAAAGTTTTCTGGTGCGTCTTTGACCAATTGCTTCTGGAAGGAGTGTCCTATCTCCAGTCACCCTCTCAGGCAAGGGCAAGCTTGTCCACCCAACTAGCTGGAGGAATTGGGTATGGATGAGAGTAGAGGAAAATATATATTTTATTGAAGGGGAGGGCTGGGGTCTGCATGTGCCCTCACCCCCACCATGTATTTGTGTTTCTAAACTTTTTTTTTTTTTAAGACTAGTCAAGTGCAGTAGTGAGGAGGGGGGAAAGTAGTAGAACAAGGAGTACAATCTGTAACTGACCATGAACAATGAAGTGAGATAACTCACTACCTTCGGACCAACTTGTTTCTAAACTTTCTTTAATGAATCTCAAAGGAATGGAGGAAGAGCAGGCTCAGCAACTTGGTGGCACAGCTTTGGCCTCATCTGAAGCTACAGCTGAAGTGGCTGGCTGCATTTTTCTCTGATAATGACCTAATGCCCAACTTGGTGGGCATCTAGGCATGATGCTGGGCTTCTGCCTCTCTTATTTGATAATGCTTCCCATTTGATCTCTGACTCCTAGATATTTATTACCTTTGTTATTGTGAGTTATATCAAAGTTTTGGAAAAAGTGACACTTTATCCACTTTTCTTTTTATTTCTTCTTGTTATTTGCAGGACACTGAAATGTAAATCAATCATTGTTAGTGTTCTGTCTGAAATATAAATAAAACATAGACATAAATATTGCAGGCAATGGGACTTGTTAAAGAGAATTCCACCTTTGACATAAAATTCACGTATGATTCTGTCCACTCTATATGCAGGTATAAGTGATTGCATAGAGATGTCTGTCCGTGTATGTACGTATAAAAGTATGCACACATATGCATTTCATACACATATATATTGCTCTTGTATGTCTATTTAATAAGATATTCAAAAGGAAAATGTTCAATATATAATTCTCTTAGAGATTGTACAAAACCTGTTAGGTGCAAAAACATTGAGTACATTATTATCTCAATTAAGATGTCACATAAAACAGTTACCCTTAAAAAATCAAATAACCAAAAACTTTCTTCAGTTTTGCCCATTTTAATTGGGATATTTATTTATTGTCCTGTGAAATCTGGGGAACTAATTATGTTTTGGAAAATATTAAAATTCGTTCTTGAAGAAATCAAA